AAAAAAAAAAAGACGACTTCTAAGTCTAGTTATTTTGGGGAAAATATTTTAAAATGAGTACACAGAACAATAGAATTCACTATTCTACCAAATGAATGTTTGCAGCCTATCATCCATATATAAACATTTAGATTAGAATGAAGTAAGTTTTTAAAAGGTCAATAATAATGGTTAAATTAAATAATAAATATATAAATTTAAAACAATAATAAGCTAATTAAATAAAATGTAATTAAATTAAAAAATAAATGGTTACGTTCAAGCTTAATGAGAGCAGTTCAAAAACTAAACAAGATCCATTATTTGACAAAGAAAGCATGACTACTTGATGCAGGCACACTGAACAAACAACAAGTCAGAATCACTACTGGCTAACACTGGTCACATACACTATCCAACAAAGCTAGCCTGTCTCTATCCTGGTCAGTTCCACTAGACAATATGATGAGAGTTTATCACTTATACTAACAACCAGCTGTTAGATCCAATGTAATCAAAAGATGAAACACTTAGATACTACAACAGAAGGAAGAAAAATATTTTACATTAAATGAAGAAAGAAAATGAATGGAGAATAAGGATTTAGCATGCTGAAAGGTCAAGTGAAGGTTCAAAATAAGATACTTCAACTCAACAAATATGTAGTGAGGGTCTACTATATGCTAATTATTGTGCTTTCAAAAACAGAAGAAAAAAATAAGACAATGACCCTTGCTCTCAAAGTATTTTTAGTCTAATGAGAGAGAAAAATAAGTAAATACTTTTGATTTAATGGTTACTGTAACAGAAATATACATGGAGGAAGAGAATTAGCTCAGATGTCACCTATTCCAGGACTTCTCAAGGGTGGGGGTATATTTTGAAAAATCACTAGGAAATAATTAAAATTTGAAGACGAAAGGAATTCTAGACAGGCATTAGCATGATCAAAGATATATGAGGTATAAAATAGCTGTGTCTGGAGTTGGAATACAAGTAGTTTGTTATTATAGAAGTATAAAGAGCAAAGCATAGTGGTGAGAGATTAGACTAAAGAAATAGCAGATCACAAAAGTTTTATAAAGCTAACTAGGGAGTT